GACATTAGTTTGATATCATTATCCAACAGTACCAGTGATGCGTGAAAAGGTATGTACCCTTATGGGACTGTGGGATAATAGTATCAAAATCTTGTACACCAAAAATGATAACTTGGACAACATCTATTAAGTAACATGCTTGAGGCTATTAACAAAAAGAACGGATATATTACTCGAGACTGTGTATTGGAGTCGGATTGCATGATGACGTTGATGAAACTCAAGATACTGTTGAATTAACATATGTGGAGTACAACTTTGTTAAAAAATATGGACTTGAGCTTAATTGACATTTAATAAGTATTCTTTCATATATCATATGTCAGTTAAGGTGCCTACGTACCCCTTATATTGGGAATCAAAGTCCATGTAGTTCTTTTAAATTTGAATATTGAGTTTAATTACAGTTGAAAGCAATAACATCAATTACACCGATTATGTCACGCACACATTCTCCCATTGTGGATGCTGTTTCTGACTCTCTCATACGTCTACAATACAACAATATAGAGATAGTATACACAGACAAACTTCAACAAACTTCAAGTATTGAAGAATTTGTATGTCGGTCTGTGTCATAAAACTCTAACTGCTATATTGTAGACGTATACGAGAGTCAGAAGCAGGATCCACAATGGGAGAATGTGGCCGTGGCATAATCGGTGTAATTGATGTTATTGTTTAAATTTGTGAAGGATGTTTTATAACGGAAACAATTGCCGTTAGCGTCGGTTACGGGGTTCTTAAATGTTCAACAATCATCCAACACTACAAGAAAGCTACAGTCGTTTCCACACCCACTAGAACTATTGGATTATTGTATCAAAGTAACGTGAAGTGTAGATGACTCGAATGCGAGCTTATCAGTGTATTATTTTGCAATCATTTCTTGGAAATTTGAGTAAGAATTTCGACAATGACTAAATTTGTGTCAAATTTCTCTAATTTGTGCTATAGCAGGTGTATTATAGAGTTGAAAACATAATATATTATGTTTTCAACTCTATAATAAACTTGTTATAGCATAAGGTAGAGAAATATGACACGGACTTAGTCATCCTCGGAATTCTTATTCAATTTAAAGTTATGTGAATGCAGAACAATATACCAGTAAGCTTACATTCGAGTTATCAACACTTCACTTTAATTTGATACAATAATCCAATACTTTTAGTGATGTGTGAAAAAGACTGCAGCTTTCTTGCAATGTTGGAAGATTGTTGAACATCTAAGAACCTGTAAACGACGCTAACTGCAATTGTCTCCGTTATAGAACATCCTTCTAGTGATGTAAATTAACTTATTTTAATTGATATTTTAACTTATGGATTAAGGTGCCTACGTATCCGTTAAATTGGGAATGAAAGTCCAAGTACTTTTTTTTTAATTTACTTACAGCTCAAGAAATTCCAAAAGTTGACCAAATAATGATCAAAGCAATAACATCAATTACGCCAATAATGCCACGCACACAATCTCCATTGTGGAACCTGCGTCTCACTCTCTAATACGCCTACAATACAACAATGGAGACTGTGGGCGTGGCATAATTGGAGTAATTGATATTATTGCCTGAATTTCTGAACAATGTTCTAAAGGCAAATTAGTTCTTGTTACGTTAAGATATTTTAAAGTTGATATATAAGAAAATAAAAAAATAAAAGGACTTGAGCTTAATTGACATTTATTAAGTTAAAATATCATATAACTTGATTTTTTTTTCTTTTGGAAAAAAATTGATATTTTAACTTATAAATGTCAATTAAGTTGCCAACGTATCCCCTATATTGGGAATCAAAGTCCACGTCGTTCTTTCAATTTACTTACTTGTACACGAGTGGTTGTCTCTAATAGTCGTACTCGTCATCTGCTGTTTCGGTTCCACTCGTCATACTCGTAAAATCGGATGCGTCGTCGTCGTCCGCTTCTTCGTCTACGTACATAGCCGTTTGCATCCTTCGTTCGGCCTTCTTCCAATCCATCAGCAGCATTTGTGCTTGTAGATTTTCGGGCGTCATCCTCGATCGTCGTGCGTCGAGCATATAACCTCCCTTGATGAAGGCTTGTTCAACTGCAACTATAGATGCTGGGACGGCGAAAATCTCTTTGGCCATCAAGCAAGGAATATGATACGCCTTGAATTCTCGACCACCAGTCCAAGGCATCGAAATTGAGTGGCGGACTTGGTTCACGAGCAATCGTAAGTATCAAATTCGGCGTTAGGTAGTGATCAAGCTTATAGTATCTAGTCCCCTTTGCCCTTTCAACGCCAGCATTCTTGTAGGGATTTAATGATGCCCACCACTCCTTATAGTTCGAAGCGCCTACTTGACTACCGCCGTAAGAAGAAGACCCGCTGCCGCTGCCGCCGCCGCCACGAACAAATGTGTTGGGAGGTTCTCCTTGTGCGATCGCTGCTTCCCTAAACATGTCATACAACAACTTTTTTGCTTCCTCGACGAGCAACATTACGGTAGGTTTTTGACTGTATGTCGAGACATCAGTTGGGATTGGGAGTTCATACATATAATTATAGTACATGTTAAGCTGCTCTAACAAGCGAGCTTCACGTACCGAAGGATCTAACAAACATGCAACTAAATGTGTATCAGGAATGAAATAATAATATTTTAACCATTTCTTTAACATTTATTCAACTAAATAGCCATATTTATTAAAATTTAAGTGGTAAAGAACCTTAAAAGCCCACATTATGGCTATATCGTGACTTAACACAAGCTGAGTAGTAGGATAATAAATACCTGAAAGCATGTTAGTAGCATTTTGAAATGTTTCTAAAAATTGAACAAGTGAATTATAGTTCTCCCAATCTCTTGTTGACACTCGGACATCACAGTCCTTACGGTTTGCATGGTTAAAAAAATTCTGCAATTGTGTCATAAATGGAACCGTGTCACTCAACATTTTAAATGTTGAGTTCCACCGGGTAGGAACGTCGGGTTGAAATTTTTTAGGTTTCAACCCTTGATCTTTACAAAATCGTCCCCATGCTTTCATTTCATGGGGACGTTTATGTAAATAATTAACAACGTCCTTAATTGGCGTGACCGAATCTTTAAAAGCATGATAACCAGCTTGTACACAGAGATTTAAGACATGATATATACAACAAATATGAAAAAATCTTCCGCCGCAAGTGGGAGTGCAAATATCGGTTTCACATATAGATGCAGTATTTGCAGTAGCATTATCAAACGAAATGGAAAATACTTGTTTACCTATTTGATATTTATCCAAAATTTTTGAAATTAAACGAGCAATATTAGAAGCAGTGTGTCGTTCATGAAATGCAACGTAAGCAATTAAACGTTTTTGTAAACTCCAATTTTCATCTATCCAATGACAAGTAATTCCCAAATAGAAGTTATTTTGCAAATGATCAGACCAGATATCAGCATAAATGGATACTCTATTATTTAAAGATTTAAAAGTTTCTTGCAAAATTAATTTTTTTTCGGCCACTATTTTTCGAATATCGCGAGTAAGAGTAGTACGTGGAACCCGGTGGGCAGTCGGATTCAAAGCCATTTGAGCAAAATGTTCATATAAATCACTATCACCAAAACTAAACGGAAGAGATGAAGCAGAAACAAATTCAGCTAAATGGCGTCGATGATTTTCATGTGAGTACTGAAATAAAGATGGCGTTCCTGTACTAGTCGTGGCATATGCAGCGCTACTACACGAGAATTGCGTCTATGCCGTGTCAATTCCCAATTTTGTCGGATGACAACTCTGTAAGTGTCGTTTTAACGATCCGTACCCATCTCCTTTTTTGAAATGGTACCTCTTCTTGTCGTTGATCGGGCAGTAGTTGCAAAAAGCATAAAAGTGATTCTCACCTCTTTCCGGATTGGCCACCTTCGTGTAATGTTGTTTGAATATGGTAGATCCCGGTCTGCTACGGGCGAAGACAGAGGCCGGGTCCGGGTCCGGCTGCTGCTGTTGCGTCGGTTGCTGAACCTCCGGCGGGGACTCTCCAAATATATCATCGAAATGGTCGTGATACGGCTGCTCCTGCTCTTGTTGCTGAGGATGAATTGAACCAAACATGCGGTCGATCGTCGCCTCATCAATGTCATCAGCGACACCGGGAACATCCACATGTATCGATGGACTCGCAAATTCCGGCAATGGAGGTCTCGAGGAAGACGTGCCGGTGCCGATATTTCTACGTTTCTGTCCGGAATTCGAACCACTACCACCACGAGAGCTCGACATTTTTTAATATAAAGAATAAAAAATAAATTAAGGAAAATTAATATAGAAGATGATGAAATAAAAATAATGGGGAGATGTGATATTTATTTATTTATTATTGTTGGATTTTTTTTTTTATTTTCTTTTTTTTTTACGGTTGGGCCCGTGGACCGGCCCGAACCGTGGCCCAACGGATATAATGCAGTATGGGCAGCAGGTGCAGGTCTGACGCCAGGTCGATCCAGTCCGATCCGATTCTACCCGGCCCGACCTGGCGAATATAATATTAATAAAAAAAAAAACTGAAATCGTTGCCGGCGGTCGGCCCAGACCGCCATTACAAAAAAATAAAATAAAATAATTGAACCTTGATCGAACCACGATCCTTACGGTTCGGTCCAACGAACCGGCCCTTATGTGGCCGATTACAGGCCGATTCGGGCCGATCTGGGACCGGTTCCCAGTTCGGGTCGCGGGCCGGTTCCACCCGTGGCCATGTCTAACTCTTTTATATGTTGTATTTTTTTATTCGAATATGTTATAGTTATGAATTAGTGAAAATTACGTAAGCACATATGTAACATCAACATCATTGTAGCAAAAGATAAAAATAAAATAAGTATGTTTCTTCTATTTTTCACATATTGGGAAAGGACCCAACAATATTACTAATTTAATAGCAATAATTTTCGGCTTCGTTTTACCATTAAAAATCATTGGAAAGAGATATTTATTAATCAATTAATAGCAGAAAAAAAAGAATTAGTAAAGAAAAAATGGTCATGGTGACGTTGACAGTCGCTAAAATAAAAATCGTCTTTTCCTCTCTCATTCTCTCTTTTTCTGCCACATAAATGCACAGCGCAGGTGTTGTTGCCTTCATTTTTCCCCATTCCACATTTGCACTCATCTCCCTAGAACCACGTACGAGTACGACGGCTAAAAAAAAGTATGTCAGCATGTTGTCGTCAGATGGCCGCCTCCGCCGCCGCGACACAGGCGGCCGGCCAGCCCATTCTGCTGCACCGGGCGTCCTTATCCGTCAATTTCTCGCGCGTGGGCTATCTTCAATCGTGGGTTAGCAGGGGCGCCGGAGCTCCAGTGCTGCGGTCCAGACGGTGGCTTATTACGGCGTCGGTCGCCCGCCGGGGAGAGGAGGAGGAGGATGGGATGAAGGTGACGTCGCCGCCGCCTCCTCGGTGCTGCGCGTTTGATCGGGACGCGGTGGCGTTGGCTGGTGGTGGAGGTGCGGCCGATCGGAGGGCGGAGGTTATGGTTGCGGCCGTGGCTACGGTGGTGCTCGGCGTGGGGAATCGGGTGCTTTACAAGCTCGCCTTGGTTCCTCTCAAGCATTACCCTTTCTTTCTTGCTCAGCTAGCCACTTTCGGGTAATTCTATTTCATTTTCCTTTTACCTTCTTCAGTTTTTTTTCCAATAGCTTTTTCTCTGAACATTTAATTTTTTTTACATTTTAATTAAATCCCGTGTTAAATCGTATTCGAGGTACGTCACCTTTGTTTTGGTAAAGTCCAAAAATCACAAAAAAAAAAACGGAAAAAAGGCTGTTTTTTGTTATCTAGATCTGGAAAAAAGGTTTCGATATTTTTTGGGGCGCAAGTGAGAGGCGACGACGGAAAACCGTGGCCGACGACAGTGAAGGTCGGAATATTTGAGACCGCTTGCGTGGGCTTAATTGTCTTTTACAGAAAGCCTTGGCACGTACAGTTTTTGGAATCATTGAAAGTGGAAATTATTGGGTGGATGTGAGGGTGAGAGAATGTGTGCTTTGAATGATTGTACCATCTAGAAGGTTGTGGTTTTTTTTTCTCTTCTTTTGGGTGAGTCGTCCAGCCAACGGCGTCGATAAGCTTGATGCGTCCATGGCAACGCCTTCATTGGTTGATGTGCCAAAGTTCCAGTTGGCTTTCTTTGTCAGCCATATCTTTTCTGTCAATCTATCGATGGCTAAATGACGTTATAGGTTTGGGTTCCTTTTTCCCTTTTTTTCATCACTTACTTTTCTTGAATTATTGACATGACCACAATAATTAAATCCACGAACCTATGTTTTAATGTGGTATTTACTTATAAATTAACATTTTTTTTCTTATTTTTTTTTTCTCAACCATTGTGCCAATTCAAGAACAGATGAGTAAATTTTATTTTGACGTGGGTCACCAGTGCTAGTTTCTGAGTACTTTCCCTCCACTGATGGGAGACTTGTGCACTTTTATGTGAAAAAGATTAGAGGGTTTTTTTAAGACTTAAGTGAGGTTGTAGTTAATATGGGTCCCATTTGAATGAGGGCCGTTGGTGGTGAGTTGGATGTGGTGTAGTGGGTCCCCACACAACCAGCAACAGAGATTCCCTTTGGGTTCAATGGCATATGGTGAGAAAAACTATTGTAGGTTCCTTCCCCATTTTCCAGGAAGTTATATCCCCAAGTTTACTTGGATACAACGATCTAACTGTTAACCGCTTAGAATAGTTTAGACCTGTTTCAAGTGTTTTTCTGATCAGTCAATATTATTCTGCGTGTTAATTAATTATGCTGGACCTATTTGGTTCCAACCGAGCAGCTTTTAATGTGGTAATGAAGTCAGTCGAGCTTTCCGACTAACCAACTTATAAAGATTCTCATCCTAAAGTGTAATTATGCTCATTTAAGTATCAGATTTTCCTTGTATGCTGTCTGATCAAGAATAATGCTATTTTACTTTTTCGACAAATGTTGAAAACCGGAGCTGATAGTGTAGTCAAGTTAGCTGCAAGTCAAATGCTAGCATTTTTTGTATCAGAACGAACCCCAATTGACAAGTGCTGCATTGCCTTTTAACTGTTATAATTTATTAACTATAAACTCCAAGATCAGAGTAGAATATGATCATATATTATGATTTCTCAACAAGGGTGATTTTCTCCATATGAAATTTTCTCATTCCATTTGAATTTATACGATCCCCGTGAGATTGGGTATGCTAGATGACTGCTCCTGTCTTCTCATTGTTTTTATCTTATTTTCTTAGTTTTCCTCGAACATTTTTGGTTATGCACGTCATAATGTTGATCACTTAGACCCGTTACACATCATTTACAGGTATGTAATTGTATACTTTGCGATTCTGTATCTTCGGTATCAAGCTGGGAAGGTTACAGATGAAATGCTATCCTTGCCAAAATCACCATTAATTGCTGTTGGCCTCCTTGAGGCGCTAGCTGCTGCATCTGGGATGGCAGCAGGAGGTAATTTCTTTGATTTTATTATTATTTAAATCTTCTATGGCGTTCTTCTGTCCATTCTTTGTCCGGTGGATTGTGTGGTGTGACAAGAGGTCTTTGGAACTGACCTTACTTTCTGGAAGTATCTCCTATCCATCAATTTCTGTGTGGTATTCTTTACATGGTATATTTTTGTTTGCTTGTACAAGTGTCTTGCAATTTATTCCGGTGTGAAAGTTGTGGCTTAGATTTTTATCGAATGCCAAGTTGTTCGCCTCTTCTTTAAGATACCTCCTATGAGGATAGAAGTTTTCTGAAGTATGATTCAAAACTATTTTTCGTGCATACGATTGCTGATATAAGTACTAAATGAATTGTGAAAATTTGCAGTTTCATATTCTAACAGCTAAGTAGAGATTTCGTTCTGACTTGTATCAGGCTAATGATTTTCTATTGAAACAGCTATCCTTTCTGGGGCAGCAATTCCTATACTGTCTCAGGTAAAGACAAACTCCAATTTTTCGGTATCAAACAGAGTTTTATACAGAAAATCAGTATTTCTTTTAATTTAGTGTTTAGTACTTTGATCTTTATGCTTAATGGTTTGGAATTGTATGATGACACTTACGATTACTATAGGAATATGGTACAACTGAGCAGAGAGATGGAGAAATCTGAGATTTTTATTTCAACATAATGATTTGAGAGCTGGATTGTCTTTTGGTGAAGTCCTGGAAATTCAATCCAGATATTTCATCGTAGTTATCTTATCTGATTTTATGGAGGCCTAAATCTGAATACAAGCTTAAGTTATAGTAGGGGGTAGACAGTTCCTTTGTTTCTCTTTCTTCTTCTTCGTCATTTATTTCGGTGATAGGATCAATACTAGGGCTTCCACGTTCATGAGTATGTTTTCTATTTATGAAACAAAATCAAGCTATGGAGTTAATTCATTCAACTGCTAATTTTTGCAGAGCTTTTTGGTCTGGCAACTTGTACTTTCATATATATTCCTTGGGAGGAGATATCGGTTCCACCAGTTGTTTGGTTGCTTCCTGGTGGCAGTTGGTGTTATAGTAACTGTAGCAAGGTACTTTCCTTCTTTCCCCACAAGTACACACATGTAAAATAGCAGAAATCAAAACACTTGGACAAGTGGCATACGAATTTCCTGCAGCACAGTTTTTAATACTCAGTATTGTTTGAGAAGTCCAAAAACGCACCGTAACATATCGTCTCTCAAATAACTTGAGGATTCATGTGTAGTGTGTGTCTAGATCCTCTCTTAGCAACATAATTTGGACAATGGAATAATAACGATATTATATTGCCAGTCTACTGTATGGCACGCAAAGGCATAGTATCGTTTCTTTCCAGATAATCCATCATTAGTTTGTATTTTGTATATCTTAAGAAACTAGAATTGCCTGTTGACAAACAATAGCTGTGCGTGCCTAAAACATTAGATTTTACAGGAATTATGGGGAAGAGTTAGTCAGAATTTTCATTTTTTTTTTTATAATCCCGTTATCATGTACCATGATATATTGGAAAGTCCTACCACATATAGCCTTCCTTCCCCTTTTTCGGATCCTTGCTCACATTGCCTTGTCAATAGTCGAGACCGATGTTGAATGCTAGAAGCGAAATCAATTCTAAATATTATTCATTTCTTTCAGTGGATCAGGTCCTGGTTCTCTGATGGAAGCTGGCATATTTTGGAGTGTTTTGATGATTATTTCTTTCTTGTTACAAGCTGCTGATACAATCTTGAAGGTGCAAAGGTGTCCCTTGAGCATTAGTATTTTCTCATCTCATTTGTCTGCGTATTCTTTTCTAAATGACTCCCCTCTTGTTTTGCAGGAAATTATATTTGCGGATGCTTCTCAAAGATTAAAGGTAGGTATGTGAAAATTTCACCACCTTAGATTTATAGATGACAGGTCAGGTCGAGACAGAACTGATATGATGAACACTTGAGTTTTATATGAAAATGCAGCCTACTCTGTGGGTGTAACAACTTATTGTCATGAAATTGGATACGTATTTAAACCTTCTACCTGATCTCAAGAAAACCATAAGCCTAGTGACATGATAAAATATAATTTACATTGATAAATTATAATTTGAATTTGCATATCTGTCTATTTTTTTCTGTATGCATAGCGGGCTAGTGTGTTTGTGCTTTCCGAAAAAAAGTAAAAGCAGGTCTCTCTTCAAATGAATTTAACATAACGTTCATGCAATTTTGGTTTCTGAAGTTATTGATTTAGAGATGGATAATAAATCATGTGATACTTTTTCTTTTGTTCGTTTTTCATTTATTTATGTCAGGGAGGAACAGTGGATCTATTTGTTGTAAACTCCTTTGGATCTGCTTATCAGGTGAACATTTATGCTTTTATGGTATCACTATTGGTTGAGTTCTACCATTTATTTTCTGAAAGCTTGAAACCAATTGATGCATGAGCAGGCGATTTTCATATGCCTCCTCCTCCCGTTCTTGTCCAACCTATGGGGAATTCCATTTGGTCAACTGCCGAATTATCTTAAAGATGGTGCTGCCTGCTTTTTGAATGCCGGTACCATGTCAAACAGTAAGTCGTGCTTTACTCACTATCCTTCAACTTCTGTACATTTTTTTCCTGCAAGTACCATAACAGAACCCATTAAGCAAAATGTACAGACTTTACCCACTTGGCCACACTGATGCCTAGTGGGCTCTCTCTCTCTCTCTCTCTCTCTCTCTCTCTCTCTCTCTCTCTCTCTCTCTCACACACACACACACACACACACGCACGCATAAGTATTCTTATGATCACCATTATTGTGACATTCAATTGCTTGTCGTTTCCAAAATACAATGTGAATTTTTTTTTTATTTTTTATTTTTTTTTTGTATTGGCTGCAGGATGCAATGGTGCACCCTTACTGCCTGTGCTATTTGTCATTGTGAACATGGGTTTCAATATATCACTTTTGCATTTGCTCAAGATATCATCTGCAGTTTTATCTTGTCTTGCATCAACAGTTTCAGGTCAGTAATACATCATTGGTCATCCTGACAATCATTATAGCAATATTTCTTATGTTGAGCTTAATTACACGTAAATTCAATCACAAACACAATCAAGGTTGATTCAATTGTATATGCTCAAAGAAATACAATAAATATTGCTAATGCTGGAATAATACGAGTTTGCCATGAAACACTCTTAATCTCCTTATTCTCTTTGCAGTTCCAATATCAGTGTATCTTTTCACATTGCCTCTTCCCTATCTTGGGGTGGCTTCCTCCCTTCCTCCCGGCTTTGTAGCAGGCGCCATCATCCTCGTTTTTGGTCTTCTCGTTTATGTGTGGCCGCCCCCTCGAGCAGCCCCACCATTGTGAATTAGCCGACAAAACAAGACCATCTACCTCGGTGGTTATATGTATTGTATTTTCCAACAAAAGTTGGTTTAGAGAGAAAGGTCTATTGGCTTTACCGAACTTTTTCTTGAAAATCAAAATGGCTAGCTTCTTGAAGGTATTGTCTTCAATTTGCTCTTAGATATCCAAATCTTGCTATGTAGAAACAGTAGTTGTAGTCGTTACTCGTTAGAGGCTAACAGATGGCGATTTCATGTAGGGGTGTGAAATAACAATTTACATGGAAGAGAGGAGGTGGTTGGTTACTATTGATTTGTGATGATACTGTTAGTAGGAGTTCCTCTCGCTGTGAATTGAACATTTCAAGGGTACAAGTATACAAGTGGATTTCGGTCCTCTTTT